GATTAAGGACTTTTGAACATGTGTATGGAATTGGGAAGGAAAAGAGAAGGTTTTGGGAATTGAATGCATATCTTCTATCTCTAACTACCCGTCCGGATATCAATAATTAATTAAAGCTCTGCCAATGCGACGGAGTGATGATACTCTTCTTTCTCTCCGCTCATGGCCGCGGGGTGCCACCGCTTCAGGTTATGCTGTGTTCTCGGTCGAGGAGATTCAGGAGTGATTTGGAAAAGAAAAAGAAAAAAAATGTGTGAAATTTATTGAAAATGTAGGTATTATATTTTTTAGCATTTTACCTAATCTTTTTAATTTTTCTATTTAAATTTCTTCAAATCTCTCAACCTAAACAGCATTATGCTTTCGTTTTTATATTAGTGTTATTAGTGCCTAACATGGACGAAACCCAAAAAATAAATATAGTAAATAAAACATAAATAAAATAATATAATAATAATAATAATAATAATATGTTTTAAATAATTTCAAATTATATTCCTATTGATTTTATTTATTTTTTTTAATTACAAACATCGCTAGACACAATTCACATAATTTTTAATATTAATATATCCCAGAGTAAAGTCTTGTTTGGAGAACAAGTTTTTTATAATTTTTTAACTAAAATATAATGTAAAAGAATAGATAATTTGGAGATTACTTTTATTTTTTATGATGAATAAAGTATATATAAATAATAAAAGTAGAAAAAGAGAATTTTTGACTTTTTAGTTAAGAATTGATTAACGTGATTATTTTTTTATAGTGATTTTTAACTTTTTATACTAAAACTCACCGTTTGTCAAAACGGCTTAATTGTAAAATCTAATGTGCCTATGCACACTAAGGGGTGTTTGGCAAAATTACAAAAAAAAAAAAGTCAAAAATCAACCTTTTTTGGCTCATTTTGAATCACATCAATATTTCACATAAAAACAGTTGAAAAAAAAGGTCAAAAATTAAACTTTAACTAATTCTCATACATACTCCTAAAGATAAATAAGACAATACGTGGCATTTCTTCTGCGATTTCAAAATCATCTCAATAAGTTGATTATGAATTTTTAATTCACTCATTATATCTCATCATGGTTTAGAAATAATTATAAAATATAATTGAATCATAATTAATATTCTTATTTTAATATTCATTCAAAACTTTTATTTCTATTATAGACCCCTGGCTTGATAGAGACGTGTTGAGAAAGATGCTTATAGAACTTATGCCTCAAAGCAGCTTTAGCTTATAATTTCAGCCTTAAGCTGATTCCAGCTTAATTCTTAAAGGGCATCTCCCTGCCCCACCTTAAGGAATAAGCTGATTTTCTGACTTTCCAAAATACTATAAGCAACTAAACACATCAAAATAGCTTAATATATAAGGCTAAAAGGCTGAAATAAGCTGTAATTAGCTCTACCAAACAGGCACATAGTACAAATCCCTAAAAACAATAATTTCGAAATAAAAAAATAAAATAAAATAAAAATAAAAACTTAAACTGAATAGAAGATGAGAGATTGCTCTCTCTCCTCTCTCTCGGATTGAAATCTACTATTCCTCAGAAAAAATTTAAAACAAAGAAACCACTAACAAGCTCAATGAACTACTTGTAAAACATATTTGCGATAAGTCGGTCAAGAAGAAAATTTGAAGTTGAACAGAACAATTAAACAGTTACACAGGTTGGTGTAAAGCAGTTGTGAGAGACCCATTCATATGAAAATTTTAACTATTATTGATATCCAAACAAATAGAGGTTAAACAAACAATGGAGCAACACACTTCTTTTTCAATTTTCGCAACAGTGAAACTCAGAACGCGAGCATATACACTTGGTAAAGGGGCACCTCATCGAACCGAGGAGCCAACCACTTCGTTACAAACTCACCCAAAAATAAATTTAAATATATAAGTAGAAAGAAAAAAAAACAAAAGTAAATAAATAAATAAAAACATCCTTTCTTCGCTGTCGATGGTTTACATATAATCCCCGCTTCATCTTCCTCAGATGTCGCACATGAGAAGAACATAAAACCATAAATGACACTTCTCTGCTAGTCTGTATTCTCCGCAAAAACATGTAATCATTGAATAAAACTCATGATGGTAAAGCAATTTGGAAGTTAAAAAATAATAAGTAATAAAAATAAAAAATAAAAAGAAATAAATAAGAAAAGAAAGGAAGAAAGAAAAAAAAGAAGGGGCA